TAAATTAATAAATCAAATATAAATTTGTTTGTTGTTAGTTTTAGAAGGTCTGTTAATTTTTTTGAATTTCCGTTTATTTTTTGGGATTTCCGTTTATTTCTTAGAATTCCTGATTATTTTTTAGAAGTTCTGTTTATTTTTTAGAATTTCTGTATATTTTTTATATATTTTTGTTTTAATGTTGTTCCTATTATGTGCAAAGCAACAATAATTAAGTTGAAATAAAAATATATGCTTGACCTCTTGATTTTACTTGATACTAAACGCAGTTTTACATAAAAAAATAAAAACAAAAATAAATATCATAACTTGATATATATCGGATATACATATATCAGATATATATCGGATATACATATATCAGATATATATCGGATATATATCCGATATTTGATATTTATATAAATATCATGATATTTGCCAACCCTGGTTTCTACATGTTTCCGTTTTCGTATAATCAACCCAGGCGAATGAGGTGCTCCACCCTGCATATTAAGTTGTGTGTTTTTATGTTATTTATGCAACTGAAAATAAATAGTTTTATTTTAAGTGGTTTTATTCTCATCTGTACCTACAATAAATTAATAATATGATACTTAGTAAGAAAATCGCCTAATTGGCAATTCAAGAAAATTAATATTAACATTTAAAAAAGGTACCTAAATTGAATTCTGGTTGTCTTGAATTGAGGGTAATTATATTGATTTAAGTCATTTTACTGACTTAACTTGCAGATAATAATGATTTAAGTCAAAAATATAGATTTTAGTCATAAAAACGACTTAAACAACGTATAGTGATTTAAGTCTTTACAAAAACGACTTGACTTGAAATAAAATAATGATTTAAGTCAAAGAAAAAAAAAATTGATTTTAGAAATGACTTAAAACTTAAGTCTTTTTAAAACTGATTTGTTGCAGCTCTGGTCAGTACCGGGTGGCCAACTAAGAATGGACACCGGCTGTATCTCAGAAACTACTTATCTTATAACTTTGGAAAAAAAATTCTAATAAGTAAATTGACCAAGAGAAATCGCTGGAAATTATTTTCAACTTCAAAAAATGCCCGCTAGGGGACGTTTCTCTAAGGGCCAATCAGAAAACAGAGTTTTTCTCAAAAATATGCAGGCGAACAGGTATTTTAAATATTACTATTATAATCATCGAGAAATTTGTAATTTTTTTGATACAGAGTATTTTACTCTATCTCATAAAATAAAGTGGTGGGGGATCTTAGTGGTGGGGTTAAACTTACTTTTATTCAAATAAGGATAACTCTGGTTTAGGTTACGGATTTAAACAAACTACCGCTCGTTTAAAAGAGCTTTTCTTACTTAATGATCTCCAGTATAAATTTTGTTTCCACAATTATTTTCGTGGTAGCTAGAGGGTGCTGTTTGACATCATAACAGATATTGCGCTTTTGCCTAAAAAATTTAAATAGGAGGCTATACTTCTCTTTACACATTTAAATAGAGAACAAAATTTCCAAAATATCAGCGCAAACCGCAACTTTCTATCTTCTCTCTAACCGGAGATATTAAGCATATAATAGCATATAATCATGTTAGGCTGCCGTTTAGGATTATGTATGGTCTAAAAATTATAGTAGTAGGCTAGGAAACAAAAAAAGGTAAATTGGTTACGTCAAAAATCAAAATATTTAAGTTCAGTTTTCATGCATCCGAATGTCAGGCGTTTTCTTAAAAAAAATGACGGTCATAATTATTTAAACGTGTTTATGTAACATTATCATCCATCCGTATAATTTTTATGAATTTCTTGAATTTTTTTTATGAATTTCTAATTATACGTAAGTAGTTGTCAGATTAAAATGTCCGAAAGTCGGATAATCAATAATTTTATTAAAATTTCTAGGAATTTTGTGCCGCCATATTGCTTTTAACAGAAAACGGCCGAATTTCTTATTGTCGCAAACTAAGGGTTTATTTCATGTAACGTCATTTAGTTATTAATCCAAGTTCGTCCTTGATTTCACTTGTTTTCGTGTTTTACCTGTTGTTTGTGTTACTTATTATTATATTATATATAAAGCATTTATAAAGTTTATGTCGTTTGGGTCAATTTTCATATAGCACCGAACGAAGGTGCGAATCTTAACAATATGCACTACTGGTTCAAATCTACCCTTGATGCAAGTAGTTTAGCACCAAGACCGTTGGTCGGTAAATGTTAAAGAAAAACGCAGGAATTCTAGGATGGCGAATGATTGGACTTTTTTAATTATCTGTATGAAATGAACTATCCATAATTTCTAAGAAATGAATTGCCAATTTTGTTAGAGGGTCCATCATGATGAAATTGCATTTGTTGCAATTTCATCATCATGAATGCAGTTGGTGTAGTTGAGGCAGTGGTGCCGCTTATTTTGCTATGAATGTGTGGGGCTTCTTGGATACCACTTACTTAGTAGATAGACGCTGGAGCGGCATATTTCCATGGCCAGCTGGGACATCGGATTCAATATGTCTGGGTTTTAATTTATGGGGTCGAATCAAGAACGAACATGGATAAATTATAATTAAATGGTATTAGAATGAAATTAAAACATATGTTTTGATATTTTGAAGTAACCAATTTACAACTTTTTGTTTCCTAGCCTACTGCTATAATTTTTAGACAATATAATCCTAAGCGGCAGCCTAACATGATTTGTTCTCTTAATATCTCCGGTTAGAGAGAAGATAGAAAGTTGCGGTTTGCGCTGATATTTTGGAAATTTTATACTCTATTTAACTGTGCAAAGAGAAATATAGCCTCATATTTATTTATATCTGCTATGATGTTAAACAGCGCCCTCTAGCTACCACGAAAAAAATTGTGGAAACAAAATTTATACTGGAGTTCATTAAGGAAGAAAAGCTCTTTTAAACGAGCCCTAGTTTGTTTAAATCGCGTAACCTAAACCAGAGTTATCCTTATTTTAATAAAAGCAAATCTAACCAGGCGCGTGCGGTCCATAGAAGCGGGGGAAGCGGCGCACAGAGGGGATTTTTCCCATATTCGTGACCAAAATGATTTTTGTAGCATAAACTTACTATTTCTTTTCGAAACTAGTATTTACATTAAAAGTGAGTCATATTTACTAAGAAAATATCTATTATACACTTTGATGCTATACAGGGTGACAAAAAATTGCAAAGTTCGAAACAGAGGTAATATTAATTATTAGAAGAAAATATTCAGTAGTTTTCATCTTTAAACATGTATTTTTTGCAAATTGTTCTTATGTTTTTCATTTTCATTACATATAAATTTTAAGGGAGTGTACAACCCCTAAAATATGTTTTATTTTAAAAATTGGTTAATTTTGCAGAAAAATGGTTGAACACGTATTTTCTATCGCTTTTCACCAAAATCAATAGTTTTTAAATAAAAATATTTAAGGGGTTGTTCATCCCTTAAAATTTGGGTTTTGAAAAATACCCTACTTATTGAACCTCTACACCTAACAATCTATACGTAAGCCAAAATTCAGCTTTTTACTCCCATTGGTTTCAGCTTGATGAAAAGGGGGTTGTATTCGCCCCCTATGGGACAATCGTTGTGGAAAAAAAATATCTTCGTATGTCAAAAACAAAAATTAAAATACGTGTTCAAGCATTTTGTCGCGAAACCAGTGGTTTCTCAAATAAAAAACATTTCAATATTGAAAGGGTAGTTACAACCCCTTTAAATTCAAGTTTTATAAAATTCTTTCTTATTGCTCGCCTACTTTGTATAAGAAACCTTTGTGCAAAATTTCGAGTCTCTAGACCCAGAGGTTTAAGCTGTGCATTGATATGTGCCTGTATCCGTCACTTACAGTCACTTTCACAGACATTTTTTTAAGTGTCCGTTAACTAAAGGACAATTAAATTTAAAGGTGCCATTTATTTGACGTGACATACAGGTCATCAATCAGTGTTAAAATGGCACTTAAAAGACCCTTAACCTAACGGTCTTTTAAAAAAAATGTTGATGGAAGTGGCTGTTAGTGAGACAGTTTATTCTATTATATAAGTAGATTTCACATTACGTTTAGAGCCAAAAATCTGTTATTTTGAACAGATTAGCAAAAACTAGCAGTCACTTTTAACACAGTTAATAAGATTAAGCATTGATAAATAAGACAGTGAAAAGCATTGACCTTAATACGCATTAATAGTGTACCAAATGCTTAACGGAATGAACGCTTAATTTTTGTTTTTTCATTTTGAACAATAGAAAACAAAACCAATACAAGTATATATATATCCATTTTTAAAATACTACTAAGTAAAATATTATATTATTCTACATACATGAAGGTACACAATCCATGTTTCACTTTTCGCAAAAAATTATTGGAAACACAATAAAACCAAACGTCATTAGTAACGAAAATTTAAGTAATGACAGCCAGCATAACATTTTGTCTTGCCAAAGCTAACTTTGGATCAACGTAACTAGAGAATACGGTAAAAATTTATAATAATTTTTTTTAGCTTAATAGATAGATATGTTGCCTGTCGTTTCAAATATTAATTATGAGAATATTGCTCAATTCAGAATTTTAAATTTTGACCACGAATTTGGAAAAAATCCCCTCTGTGCGGCGCCGGCGCCGGCGCGGCGCTTCCTTATACGTTGAGACCAAGCTTTTTAATTAATAATTCATAGCAAGTAATATGAATCTAGGTATTGGTTTATATGTGATCTGTTAAACATATTTTTCGACTTAAAATACATATTTTTCGATAACTACAATAGTAATATTTAAAATACCTGTTCACTTGCACATTTTTGAGAAAAACCCTTGTTTTCTGATTGACTATTAGAGAAACGCCCCCTAGCGGGCATTTTTCGAACTTGAAAATAATTCCCAGCGATTTCTCTTGGTCGATTTAATTATTAGAATTTTTTTCCCAAAGTTATACGATAAGTAGTTTCTGAGATACAGCCGGCGTCCATTCTTAGTTGGCCACCCGGTACATACTTCAGATATTAAATAGCACCCACCTTAAATGCTCAAAAATATGAGCTCTCTTCATATTTGTTCTAAATTTTTCTTCATTAAGTAGTAGATTACGAATACCTGTGGCAGTATACAGATTAGGTGAAATCAGCCTGTCTATATTTAAGCTAGCTCTGTTTAATACATAGTGCTTACTCTTTTTATTAAAAGAGGCATTTAAAATCACAGCATTTAAAATACTAATATCGGTTTCATCCAGCTTTGGATTTTTGTTAAAATGGATAGGTATGTGCAGCTCAGCTTGTAGTACTGATAAGGCGTCCATAACTGCATCTGAAAAGGAATTTAGTATTTTGAAATTTAGATAATTCAATCTAATTAATTATGATTTATATACAGGGTGGCGTCATTCGCCTCGGTTGATTATACGAAAACGGAAAGATGTAGAAACAAAATATTTTATGGATATATGTGAGAAGACAATGTGCATAATCTAAAATTATTTTGAAATGTACAGAGTATGCCATGACTAAGATCCACACCAAAGTTATATTTTTTCTTATGGAACACCCGGTATTTTATATCATATTTGCATCCTTAGACACAAAATAAGACATTTATTATAAGGGTTAAATATGATTACAAGCTTTGGTTTTTGAAATATTTATAGATATTTAAATATGCATGCTATAGTAAAAAAAATTGTTAATACCCTGTACATTGCTTTTCAGAGTTATTAATTCTTATGCCGACCTTTTATTGAAAAATTTGATGGTTCGTTTAATGTATACAGGGGTATCAAAAATTGCTGTTTAATGTATACAGGGGTATCAACAACACGCTGTATTTCTTAAAATAAACCGAAGCAGATTCAAATGCTCTTTCAAACTATATTAAGGTTTCCTATATCTATCTAGCGCAGATTTTGAATAAAGAGCAATTTTTCAATAAAATGGCAACCAAGAGCAAGAACGGTAAACTAATAGGATTGCTCATCCTCATAAGACGTACATTCGCCTCTTCCCGCGCTTCAGCTGACAGTTGTAACGTCATTGTAGTCCTTGTCAAAGCCTTGTCATGATAGTGTGTATTCTTAGTTGCCTATGGTAAACTTATAAAAATAACAGCTGAGAAATTTTGAGTTTGGTTTGGTTTGGTTAGGTTTGTCAATTTTAAATGAGAAAAAGGTGTCTTTAAAGTTTTTAGAGCTATGGTGCTTACTAAGTGCCCACGATTTTGTTTATTAATTATTTTAAAGCAAAATATGGAAGTACTCTAAAAAGAATGCTTGCAAAAGGTTATGCTGGGAACTGCTGTTCTTAAAAATGCATTATCCGAGTATTTAATACGATTTATACAGTTAATTTTCTATACTGCATACATATAAGGTGTTTAAATAAATAAACTAAATAATGCACGTGTGTGTATTATTGGTTGCCGGATAAGGACTAATAACCATGACAAGGACTACAATGACGTCACAAAGCGAGTAGTTTTCGCATGCACCTGGCAGACACTTTTGACTGAATGAGCAGTCCTATTAGGTTAACTGTTCTTGAACCAAGGGGGCTGATATCGTCATGGCAAGTTTCTAGTGTCACTTGCTATTTTCAAAATCGAAATTAGTTTATGGGATTTACTTAAATTTATAGTAGTTTACTTTAATTTATCTACAATAGTTTAATAAATAATATTTATTAAATATGGATTTATTATTTTATCAAGAAAATCGAACAAGTCTTTGATTTATTTGATGACAAATTTATTTTCTTCAATTCCAACGATAGGTTTCTGCCTATAAAAGGTTTTTTATAAACCACATTATGTGAAATAGGACAAGTAGTTTTTCAAAGAAACGTTTGAAGATATCCATTCGTTCCGCCCGCAGATACTGATTTATTTTTCTTCATAAAATAATTAATACTTACTTATTAAACTATTGCGGGTAAATTTAAGTAAACTGTTATAAATCTAAATAATATGTCATAAACTAATGTTGATTTTGAAAATAGTTACTAACTCTCACTAGAAAATTGCCATGGCGGCACCAGCCATCTTGATTGCCATTTTACATATTAAAAAATCGCTTTTTATTCAAAATCTGAGCTAGATAGGTATAGGAAACTCTAATATAGTTTGAAAGAGCATTAAATCTGCCTCAGACTTGTTTTGAAAAATACAGAGTGTTGCATTTGAAATAACAAAGTTTTTATGCATAATATATATTTAAAATAGATCAGCAATTGTTTGTACCCTTGTATAAATTTAAGGAAGCAATAACATTTTTCAGTAAAGTTTATTTCTCTACCTTTAAACTCAGCACAAAAATTAATTCTGAAAAGTAATTGAGATAGTTAAAAGTTAATAATCTGTTCTATCGTAGCATACATATTTAAATATCCTTAAATATCACAAAAACCAAAGATTTTAAACATATTTAACCCTCCAAAAATGAAATAAAGTACCGGGTGTTCCGTAAGAAAAAACATAACTTTGGTAATCTTAGTTCCGAAACACCCTGTATATTTCAAAATAATTTTAAATTGTGCACATTGCCTCCCCACATATACCCATAAAATATTTTGTTTCTACATGTTTCCGTTTTCGTATAATAAACCGAGGCGAATGAGGTGCGCCACCCTATACAGGGCGAGTTTCCTACGATGTTCTCTATGGGTATCTCGGAAACTACTGGAGATAGAGAGTCTGTTAAATGGGGAAAGAATTGCAGTTTTGTGGGGTCATAAATATGGACCTTTCAGATTTACATATTTCGAAAAAAACAAATTTTAGCTATTTTAAGAATTGTCCCTAATTCCATTATAATCTATTTTAGACAACAAGTTTTCAGATAAAAGTTGTAGTTAATCACATCCCTAATGAGTTCGTGTTCTCCGATTTTTTCTAAAGCTTGTCATTTTTGATATATGACACAAACATATGTTTTTTTAAATGGAAATCATAGTTGGCCATGACTGTATAAAAAACGCCATTTTTTAAGCTTTTCAGCGATATAAGCTATAACATGTTTTTTTCATAAAATTACTGAGTTACAGCCAATTCTTATCTTTCTTGGCTAATTTCACTTAATTAGCCATGGAAACAAGTTCAATCGTCGTTGCTCTCAGAAATGTGAACCTGTCACATCCAAACTTCATAATTGTATGTATATCAAAATTGTAAATATGAATTTTTCAAATGATGAAAAGCGTATAGGATTATTGGTTCAACTTTTCTTGGCCATACAGTTTCATTTAAGCTTTTTAGCGATATAAGCTATAATATTTTTTTAGTTTTATAGCCAATTTTTTTTAGAGTTATAGCCAATTCTTATCCTTCTTTACTAATGTTGGTATGGTATTCTTATTTTGTTATGATTTATAACTTATTACAAAAACTAAATCTTAAAAAAATTATATCACTACATACACATTAAGTTATTTTAGAAAATGTTCAAAAAATCCGCCATTGTTTTGAGTACATAAATGCATCTTTTTAAAACTGAATTTCTAGCTATTCTCACAGAACGACCGGTCAACTTAATTACACTTCTCCTGTACTGCCTCTTCGAGTGCCTCCCTTAATTCATAAGATCTTTTGTAAACCTTGTTAACCATACCGCATAAAAAATCTAAAATGGATAGGTCAGGTGATAGAGGAGGCCCATGCAATTGGTCACCTCTTTCTATCCCAGTCTAGTCATGTTGGAACCATTCTATTAAAGCGCAAGTATCTAAATTTAACTTTTCTAAAATGTCTTGAAAACCGTTCCCTAAAAAAACGTAAGTAACGTTCACCGGTCAATAATGAAAGTAATGTTGGAACCACTCTATTAATGCGCAAGTATCTAAATTTAACTTTTCTAATAGCGCTTTCAGACGCAGCGGAGCGTCCGCGCGTAACGTCCGCCGAGTTCCATGAGTTTAAATGAACAATTTCACATGGGTCGCGTATGTTCCGTCCGGATGAGCTATCTTGAAAAACCATCCGCGCGGACGCTCCGCTCCATCTGAAAGCGCTGTAACATGTCTCGAAAGCCGTTCTCTAAAAAACGTAAGTAACGTTCACCGGTCAACGTATCCTCGAAAATGTCTGGCTATGCAAGAAAAGTTGAACCAATAATACGCTTTTCTTCATTTGAACGATTTTTATATCATTTTTAAGATTTTTGTTAATTTTAATTTACAAAGTATGGATGTGACAGTTTATTTCTGAGAGTAACGACGATTGAACTTGTTTCCATGGCTAACTAAGTGAAATTAATCAAGAAAGATAAGAATTGGCGATAACACAGTAATTTTGTGAAAAAACATATTAATAGCTTATATCGCTGAAAAGCTTAAAAAATGGCGCTTTTTATAAAGTCATGGCCAACTATGGTTTCCATTTAAAAAAACATATGTTTGTGTCATATGTCAAAAATGACAGGCTTTAGAAAAAATCGGGAAACACGAACTCATTAGGGATATGATTATCTACAACTTTTATCTGAAAACTTTTTGTCTAAAATAGATTATAATGGAATTAGGGGCAATTTTTAAAATAGCCAAAATTTGTTTTTCTCGAAATATCTAGTAAGCCATGAACTTTTTCAAAAATCTGAAAGGTGCATATTTATGACCCCACAAAACTGCAATTCTTTCCCCATTTAACCGACTCTCTATCTTCAGTAGTTTCCGAGATACCCATAGAGAACATCGTAGGAAACTCACCGTGAATACCGAAAAGTAGCCACGTTGTCCTTTTAAAGGTTGATTCTCATTTACCTTCCGTTTCCATTCCATATCCATTCCATATCTGTTCCGTATTTTTTATTGTATCGTCGCTATACGTAGCTTCCATTCCGTATCAGTTCAATACTTTTTATTGGATAATTTATATCATTACGAGAGTTTTATTTTAAAAATTTGTATCTTTTGGAAAAGGTAATAGATTTAATTAATAGGCGAAAGAATAAATAAATATCAGCAAAATGTTAACAAAGCTGGTACAAATGTAAGAACTTGACAACGCTGTTTCCGATACGCCTGGGTCCTTCCGCCAAAAAAAAGTATGGAAGGAAAGGATATGGAACGGAAGGGAAACGGAACCGATAGTGTGCATTATTGTCATTTACATGATATAATATTTTATTTAAACGGAAGGGAAACGGAAGGCAGCTGATACGGAAGGTATAGTGGGAATGAACCTTAACTCGGTCAAACTGATCCACAAAAAATGGATAATCGTACATAAATTCGCATAGAGCTAAAAATTGGTACGAATGTTCGGCTCTAGATCCTATTCAACTATCCTACCTTTAGCAAATGTAATATAATCTGTGTCGTCTTGAATTGTTTTTTTGGCAGGAACTGTCAATTTGTCTGAGAAGTATTCCGTCAAAAAATTATCGATGTCCGCCTCCTCAGAGTCATCTCTAACTAGAATAATGTTCCTCTTTCGTCTCGGACTCATTTTAGAGATAGCATTTAATTTTGGTTTCGGATTTTCTAATAAAAGATTTTCTATTTCGTGCAGAGACGGTATGTTCGGAGAGTTCTTAAATTTATCTGCCATGAGCCTGAAAAAAATGGCATTTTAGCATATTACTACTACTATGATTGGCCAATCTTCTTATAGTTTTATGTTAACCATATTTTTTCGAATTCTTTAATCTCAACCATGTAAAAAAAATCATGTATGTACACAAAATCTAATATTTCAAACTTAAAGCAATGGCGGCCCTGACGTCAAGCCCCTTCCTTGTGTTCAGTCATGTAATACGATATTATTAATTTATTATGTCAGATATGACTCCGGAGTATGTACTGTAAGTAAAGGTTTTGTGTTTGTTAAACACATTTTTATTGCTCCTGTTGTAAACTCCTTAAACACACCCACATAGCAAATATATTTCGTTACAGTGTAGTTAAACGGTAAGCTTTATAGCCAAAACACACGCAGCGGCTTTTAAGGGGTTTATAGGCCATCGCGTCTGTGTCGCCGGCGGCGCACAGTGATGCCGAAAACGCGAAAAGTGGCAAAAAATAATTTCTCAACTTACTGCTACATTTTTAAAAATTATTTTTGTTAAATGTGGTTTTCTAAGTGTATAAGTGATGTTTGGAATCCAGAAAATTGAATTATGTATACAGTGTGTACTTAAATTGGCTGTAAAAAATAAAAAATGGGTTGTAAAAAATTTAATTATATTATTTTGTCATCAATAGCATAATAATTTAATAGTCTATTCTTTGTAAAATTTAAAAAATCAAAAAAGTTTGTGTAAACACGTTAATAAAAATACAGGGTTTTATTTTCAGCCCCTTACAATAGAATTAGCATTTCGTTTTTACTATAATTAATCCTTTTTTCAGAACTAGTTACCAATAAGTATTACTTAAATTCAAGATATTGACATTCATTTCCATGAGAAAAAAAAAAGAAAGTAAATACATCTGCATATTTTATTTAATTAGATAATAATGAAAGTAACACCCTTGATTAAGGGTAACACCAAAACATCTAAAAGACTGAGCGCTCTTTTCGCATTAGATGTAAGCAGTTGTTCATTTACAACGATTTAATTTTAGTTATATTTTTAAATGTTCTATAATTTAGAAATATCTGTAATTACCTGTGGTAAAAATATTATACTTAGATGATAATTAGAACTTAGTTACAAGAATTTAATACGCAAGAAAAAGAAACTAAAAATTATCCTAAAGCTTCTAGATAAGATGGATAATATATTTAAGATGGATTTAGCAAATGGATAAAAAAATAGAATAATTTAATCTATAATAAGTTTTGGAGCCTCAGGATGCTGTTCTATTTTACTTGACAGGAGAAGTCTTGGTGATCTCTTACTATATCCGAGAAAATTAGTATCTAGGAGGTGCATAACATTCTTGATAAAAGTTGTTGAATGAATATTGCCGCATGATAGACACATTGACACGTCTTTTTAGTTTATATTAACAATAATTATTCAAAATTAATGATATTTCTAATAATATTAAATTTAATGTCATATAAGCACAAAACGAATAAAAATTTAGGCTTAACAGGGAAAAGCTAGTTAAAATTACACAATAAAAAGTATTTTTAAATTTGAATACTTTGTATATCGAAAATTAAATTGAATAAGAGAAAATATATTACAGTTTTCTTTCTAAAACTAATTAAAAATATCCAACAACAATATTTTACAGCACCTAGAAACACCCAGTAATATTACTGTCATACGTAATTTATTTTGGGAAACTAAACCATGGTTTTCAGGAGAGTTAGGCAACCTAAAGGGTATTTGTGGGCTAATGTTGGTCATGAAACTTCGTAGTTATGAAGAAAAAAGGCTAATAATTGTAACCTACATCATATTTTTTTGGAGCAATTTGGAGCATTTTGTATTAGCTTACATAAAATGTGATTTTAGATTAAGCAGTTCTTAATTACATCAAGGTCTTTATTGATTTTTTTTATGATACCAGGGAAGTTAAAACTAGAATTACCGTGAGGAAAAACAGTTGAAAACATTGTACTTTCTCAGAGTACCATCAGTTTTTAACTAATTTATCACCAACGTTAAACGCACTAATTTTATTTAATCAAAATATTTTAGCTTCAGCTAATAATTTTATAAGCTTGAACAATTCTTATCAGGGATTAATAATGGGCCCGTTTTCATTCAAAAATCTTCACGATTCTGAAAATATGGTCTATTAGGAACTATACGAGTGAAATTATAATTAAAAAAAATACTTTTGATATTGTGATTTTCTGCTGCTTTTGGGAACTTCTGCATCACTGTGCGGCGGCGCCAGCCGGGGTAAGCTCCTTAATGTTATAAAACACGCCACAAGCTGTTCAGATCACAGTCGCGCCGCCTATAAACCGCTCAAAAATCGCCGCGTATGTTTTGGCCTTGGCTCTTAAGAAACTCTCGCGAAAGGCCTAACAATTAATATGCATAACAAAAATTGTCCGGCATTTATTAAATTGAGAATAATGTCTACACAAAGCAAGAATTTACCTTACAAAATCGTACTCTTTGTCGAAAGCGAAATTGTAAAATCGTCTTCTGGGTGCGTCTTCGATTGTTTTGTCCGGGTTTTCTTTGAAGAAAGCAGTTAGCGTGCGGTATCTTTGTCTGGCTTGATTACTGCATCTATCTAACATTTTCACTAGAAGTGCCCATTTATTAGTGCCGTACTCTTCCACGTGTTTCAATATTTTTTTATCTTCATCCAGAGTAAATGAACCTGAAAAGAAAGCGACCAAAATATAGTACATTTGAACTAATTAGGATATCCCAACTAAAACTTCTAGCAAAAAGTTTATTTTTCGTAGAAGAGAGTAACTGCATTTAAGGAAGCAAGGTTCGTCATCAACCTTACGCAGATGAAGGTCTCCTGGGCGACAAGAGATGCAGAACAATGCAAGGCAATGCAGAGAAAAATACTTTCGAAATATTATTTTATAGCTTTAGAAGAAAACGATCTAAGCTCAAGGTGATAATCAGTAAGGCGCGATTCTCGCTATAATGTACAGTCATAAGCACGTCGGCGGCGGCGTGAACTATATGCGGATAATTTCTGATTTTTGCCGTTAAAGCGCTGCGGTCGGAATTTCTTGAAATCAATAATTGAAATGCACCAAGCCTATTGCCGTCTTGTAACTCAAACGTCAGTGCCTGGTGCCTAATCTTCGATATTATTCGAGTTTTACATTTATCTAAGCCAAAGGCAATATGGATATCTTTGGAAAATTGTTCCACAATTCTTAGTAGGGAGTGGAGATAGTTGGAACTTCCTGCATAAACCTTTATATCCTCATATACATAAGATGCGATAGTTTGAATATGGGTAGTGGGTAGGGCATTGAATCGCGACCATTGCAAGAACAATCTAAACCTCTTTACCCAATTTATCCATGATCTAGTGATGGGTTGTTATTTAACTACCTGTTATTTTATAACAATTATTTACAAATAACATAACGCCACCGTTACTACATTTAAAAAATAATGATACGCATAGATCGACCGTTTGTGAAACGAAGTCGGTGCTCTGCACCACCACGAAATTCGATGCTGCTCCAAGCAATTCCAAAAAACAACTAGTATGGATGGAAAACATGTTATTTCGACAACCATCGATACAGGCGGCGAGATACAACGGACAACGGAGTGGGGTATGCGCTACACCGAACGTAGCTGCATCGGTCGATGCCGTCGATGGTCGTGTTGGGCTTGCAACAGCTTAAAAATAATAGGATATAAAAGAAGCAGCTTTTTTGAAACAGTTGCGGGCATAACGCCTGGAGGTCGAGATAACAGGAGTGGGAAAGGAACGCTGC